ATATGATCTATTTAGTATTATTATTATGAGTATATATATATATATATATATATATATATATATATTTTGTATTAAGACAACATTTCTAATTAGGACAATATGCTATATATCATATGGCTATAGGATAGTTTTCCGACTCACGTATCTGTCCATTTACGTGAGGGGAGGGGACCGTATGCCTGTTAATTTAGATCAGTTTAGATCTCCAATTAAATGGCGATTACTTGTTTAGCTTCCTCCTCCCCCCCCCCTTTTTTATATGCACCTTTTTGTATATACAGTTTTTATATATGCATTTTTTGCGTTTTTTATATGCATATTTTTTAATAATATATTGGTACACCAGCAGCAGACTTATATTATCAATTATCAATTCCCATTGCTAGGTTGGGTATATACTGGCCATCAGCTCAGTATGACACCACCTAGACTGATCTACGATCGTTTGAAGGTCTGTGGCATGTTCTCAAACCAATAAAATGGCCGCCAGAACCCTCGCGCATGCGCAGTGTACCGTGCGCCGACCATTTTCAGATTATTTCAGTATCACTGACGACATGGCACCCGCGCATGCGCATTAGGCCGAATAGCTGGCAAAATGGCGCCCGCGCATGCACAATAGGCCGAAAAATGGCAAAACGGCGCCAGGACACTTTTGGCGCAATTTTTTCCTATAAATAGGAGCAAGGAGACGTCAGGCATGCATGGCATCACCCCTACAGGAGACGTGTTATTACACGAAGCGCGTCTAGGAGGAGCCTCTGCACGCCTTGACGTTACGCCACCGGATCAGGAGATCCGGTGGCCACCATTTTTTACCCACTGGTCAGTGTATTCAAAGAGCTCATTTCACACTATATCTGTATAGGTACTCTAACCCTGTATGTGTATTATTTTATCATTATGATTTTTACCCAATAAATACATTTCATAATACTACACTATGAGTATTTCCATCTCTATCACCTGGCACTGAGCCTCCACATCTCAGCCCAGCATTTTAGGAGTCCATCCAGGCAGGAGAATTTGGGATATAGGTCCAGACCATCATCTCTGGCAGCCGTCACCCTATTTACCACCAGAGGGCACCTTCATCATCAGCTGTACCTTCACGGGACTTCCGGCTTCATGGAATTTCTATGTGCACATTAAATTGCACTTCCGGTGAGTGGGCAATTTTTCTACACCTTCATGTTAGGATGTTGGAATATACCCATTTGGATTGAAGTCATTCATACTCCATCACTGGAATATACCTTTTTGGACTGATATCACATCACCTTGGACTGTATATTATTCAGTTTATAGGACTTTTTTGTCATATTTTGCCATACTTGTGACAGTGTGTTTTATTTGTATAGCGCTGCACACCCCATTTGTATGTCATACTCTTAGAAAGGTTTTGTGGTTCCTTTTTGTGCATCAGCAGCTTTACTTGGTGCGCTCGCTAACTCATACATTTACATTGTAGAAGGTAGAAGACATTATTACCACCAGTGATCTTCTGCACTATATACACTGCTCAAAAAAATTAAAGGAACACTTTGAAAACACATCAGATCTCAATGGGGAAAAATATCATGCTGGATAAATCTATACTGATATGGACTGGGTAATGTGTTAGGAACGTAGGATGCCCCATCGTTTGATGCAAATGAAAATTAACAACCTAGGACTGAATTCAAAGACACTCCAAAAATCAAAGTGGAAAAAATTAAACAGCAGGCTAGTCCATTTTGCTGAAATTTCATTGCAGCAACCCCAAAATTGTAGTTTGTATGGCCTCACGTGCTTGTATGCATGCCTGACAACGTTGGGGCATGCTCCTAATGAGATGATGGATGGTGCCCTGGGGTAATACCTCCCAGATCTGGACCAGGGCATCACTGAGCTTCTGGAAAGTCTGAGGTGCAACCTGGCAGCGTAGGATGGACCAAAACATGATATCCCAGAGGTGTTTTATTGGATTTAGGTCAGGCGAGCATGGGGGCTATTCAATGGCATTAATTCCTTCATCCTCCAGGAACTGCATGCATACTTATGCTACATGAGGCCAGGCATTGTCGTGCACAAGGAGAAATCCAGGACCCACTGCACCAGTGTAGGGTCTGACAATGGGTCCAAGGATTTCATCCCGATACCTAATGGCAGTCAGGGTGCCATTGTCTAGAGGTCTGTGCGTCCCTCCATGGACATGCCTCCCCAGATCATCACTGACCCACCACCAAAACGGTCATGCTGAATGATGTTACAGGCAGCATAACATTTTCCACAGCTTCTCCAGACCCTTTCACATTTGTCACATGTGCTCAGGGTGAACCTGCTCTCATCTGTGAAAAGCATAGGGCACCAGTGGTGGACCTGCCAATTCTAGTGTTTAATGGCAAATGCCAATCGAGCTTTATGATGCCAGGCAGTGAGCACAGGGCCCATTAGAGGATATTGAGCACTCAGGCACCCCTTATGAAGTCCGTTTCTGATTGCTTGGTCAGAGACATTCACACCAGTGGCCTGCTGGAGGTCATTTTGTAGGGCTCTGGCAGTGCTCATCCTGTTCCTCTTTGCACGAAAGTGCAGACGCCGGTCCTGCTGATGGGTTAAGGCCCTGTCCAGCTCTCCTAGAGTAACTGCTTTTCTCCTGGAATCTCCTCCATGCTCTTGAGACTGTACTGGGAGAACCAGCAAACCTTCTGGCAATGGCATGTCTTGATGTGCCATCCTGGAGGAGTTGGACTGCCTGTGCAAGCTCTGTAGGGTCCGGGTATTGCCTCATGTTACTAGTAGTAACACTGACCCTAACCAAATGCAAAACTAGTGAAAAACAGTCAGAAATGATGAGTAGAGAAAAAAATGTCAGTGGACTCCACCTGTAAAACCATTCCTGTTTTGGGGATTGTCTCACTGTTGCCCATCGAGTGCACATGTTGTTAATACACCAAAGCAGCTGAAACTGATTAACAACCCGCTCTGCTACTTAATTGACCAGATCAATATCCCAGGAGTTTAATTGACTTGATGCTATACTAGGATTAAAAAGCGTTGCTTTAATTTTTTTGTGCAGTGTATATTGTTTTAATTTAAAGGCAGTGTGAAAAAATATAGAGAAATGGTATACATTGTAATTAATATGGATTACACAGATATGGTTTCCTAGTGTGGCACCTCCTTGTGGGGATCAGTGGTTGAGATCTGTTAAGCCTGGGAGTTGCAACACATTAGGTGGTTCTGCCTTTTTCTCCCAGCCCCTATAAGTACACTGGGGGTGGGTGGCGTTTTGGTGTGCATCAGCACTATGTCTTGAGCCCGACAGCACATTGTGATGTCATTACTCTGGTGCGCATGATGTTATTGTGCCACTCTATTTAGGGATGTGCTCTTGGTACTGTTCTGCTCATACGACAGTGAACAACAATTTTTGTAGAGCACATCCCCTCATGGACAGTATTTATATGGTGCTGGAAGGAACCTGGTGTGGCCCTTATGGATAAATAGAGAGGGAAGGTGGGAGATGCATCCTTTCTTTTGGAGATCTGCCTAGCACCATATAGGATCATAAGCCCTTATATGTAAGATGATGGTGACTGTTTGCTATTGCAAATTCTGTTGGTGTTTGGTATTTCTTACTATGACCTGCCTTTAGGGTATTTGTCTCCTTTGTAGACTTATACTTATCAATTACTTTTTTGGTTTGGCTTAGAGTCTCTTTTTTCTCTATCACTTTTATTTCTACTACTCATGTTTGATAAATTTCTGTATTCATAATTGATCTACCATATAATTTGAATCTTTGAGCATTATATGAGAGTTGTTCAAGTCAAACCAGGACTTTTAATTTTACAGGTATAAAAAGGGATGCTAGTGTGGTGGTACTACATGCAATAGTAAGTGGCAAGTGTGTCCTACTACTGATAGATAGGACACATGTCACGGGCCAGTCCAGAGACTGTTAATCAAGATGGCAGACAAGAATGTTAGTGCGTGCAGGGAACAGTGTGTAGTGATGAAGTGTCCTGCAAACAAAGGTGTAAAACCCATGGATATCTACAGAAGACTTCAAGCACAGTACAGTGATGAGACATTCAACCACAGAAAGCCATTTGAATGGTGCAAACGTTTCATAGATGGCTGTACGCCCACCAGTGACGGTCCCATCCGTGATGGTTCCCACCCATAGCAGTCATTCCTGTGAACATTCAGTGTGTGGAATTCCTGATCCTGGATAATCGACACATAACCTGTCGTGAAGTTGCACAAGAGACAAATCTTTCTGTGGGAACGGGGAACACAATGATGACGAAGTGAAGCAGGCTGCCCTAGGATGGTTCAGGCGTACTGACAATCCGTTCTATGCCAGAGCTTTCCGGGCATTAGTTAAACGCTGGGATAAGTGTATAAATGTAGCAGGGAGTATATCGACAAATAAATGCAGTTTCCACTCCTTGAAATTTGTTCTTTTATTATATAAACTCAAAAGTCCCGGTTTGACTTGAACGCCCCACCTATTTTATTATACACTTCTATTTATCTGTCTATATCTACACAATAGCAATGCACTGCGTATGCCACCTTGTCTGTTTTTGCTGTCACTATTTCTCAGTATATTTGCTTACAATAGCATCTACATGTTTTCTAATAGATTTCTCCTGTACTTACCTTTGGTAATATCGTGGGCTACATTGACCTTAAATTCCATTGGGCTATCTGCCCTCTATCTTCCCTTCTAAACCTCACAGGGAATACTCTCATAGCTTCTGGGGCAGGTGTCTCTGGTGGCCACCATTTGGGGGTGTTATATTTTATTCATTTTAAGCTGATTTTTAAGTACCGTATTTTTCGCTCCATAAGACGCACCTGACCATAAGACGCGCCTAGGTTTTAGAGGAGAAAAACAAGAAAAAAAAAGATTCTGTACCAATGGACTGCAGACACAGAACAGGGGATGACCAGAGACTGCGGACATAGTACAGGAGATGACCAGAGACTGCAGACACAGTACAGGAGATGACCAGAGACTGCGAACACAGTACAGGAGATGGCCAGAGACTGCGAACATACAGTAGAGGAGGAGATGGCCAGAGACTGCGGACACAGTACAGGGGATGACCAGAGACTGCGGACATAATACAGGAGATGACCAGAGACTGCGGACACAGTACAGGAGATGACCAGAGACTGCGGACACAGTACAGGAGATGGCCAGAGACTGCGGACACAGTACAGGGGATGACCAGAGACTGCGGACATAATACAGGAGATGACCAGAGACTGCGGACACAGTACAGGAGATGACCAGAGACTGCGGACACAGTACAGGAGATGACCAGAGACTGCGGACACAGTACAGGAGATGACCAGAAACTGCGGACACAGTACAGGGGATGACCAGAGACTGTGGACACAGTACAGGAGATGACCAGAGACTGCGGACACAGTACAGGGGATGACCAGAGACTGCGGACACAGTACAGGAGATGACCAGAGACTGCGGATGTACTACAGGAGATGACCAGAGAGTGCGGACACAGTATAGGAGATGACGAGAGACTGCGGACACAGTACAGGAGATGACGAGAGACTGTGGACACAGTACAGGAGATGACGAGAGACTGCGGACATAGTACAGGAGATGGGCAGAGACTGCGGACACAGTACAGGGAATGACCAGAGACTGCGGACACAGTACAGGGAATGACCAGAGACTGCGGACATAGTACAGAAGACCAGAGACTGCAGACAGTGCAGGGGATGACCAGAGACTGCAGACAGTAAAGGAGATTACCAGAGACTGTGGACCTTTGGAGAGGGGGGGAGCGGGTACCTGAATATGACAGGTACCCGCTCCCACTTCTGCGGAGTTGTCCTTCCTTCTTCTTCCTGCGGCGGCTTCTGTGACAGCCGGGTGCCCACTGCGCATGCGCGAGAAGCGCTGCGCTTTGTGAATGGCCCGGAGCCTTCTGGGACCTGTCATGTGTCCCAGAAGACACCAGACCATTCACAAAGCGCGGCTCTTCTCACGCATGCGCTGTGACGGCACCCGGCTGTCACAGAAGCCGCCGCGGGAAGACTGCAGTGCTGGAGCGAGGAACAGGTAAGGTCCTGCAGGAGAGAACAGCTGAGTGGCCGGCCTAATATTTTGACATGGTGGCAGCAGAAATACCGGACCGGCCGCTTTACATTCGCTCCATAAGACACACTGACATTTCCCCCCCTTTTTTTGGGGGAAAAAAGTGCGTCTTATGGAGCGCAAAATACGGTATTTGGCCCTATGGTGGCCATTGGAGTTGAAACAGATTTATAAGCCTTCTTTAAGGATATATTCGCTATGTGATGTGATAATATTTATTAAATATCTCATGTTTAATTTCTTATTCTGTGAAACCTGTAATAGCATCTACTCCTGAGGAAGTTAATAGGCACACAGAATATGTGCATTTATACTAACATGGTCTGTATTTTATACTGATAAGTGATGAATATAATAAATTAGCTTTATTATTTTTATCAGGTTTTTATGTATGTAACGAGATTTGTATGAATTGATTAATTTATAAATAATTTTTTCTCAGTGATATGCCCATGTCAAAGTCCCATGAGCAAATATATTGCATTGCATACTTGTTATAATGGAATTGAGGCACATCACTATGTGAACCATATTACAGCCAAGGTTAATGTGCTTTCCATGTGCGACGGTAAATCTTGTGGAAGTTGGATTTTCTTGCTCTGAGTAAGGTGGGAATAACAGAGCCAGAAATACCCCTATCTTGAGTTTCCACAGCCATGCTGTTAAAGTCAGAGACTGAGAAGCAAAATAGATGGCTTTGGGTCAGTAAGTCTGGTCTATGCGGAAGAATCCACCAGAAGTATGATTATGTCATATGTTATCCACTTCTAGGCCAATTTGGTGCAATGGGAATCACTGAAAAACTTCCTCCACTATCTTGGGCTGCAGTCAAAGGAGGATCTTTATCACATATAAGGAATAAATCAGATTTAATGTCCAAGGAATTATGAGAGCATCTACTGAGAAGGCTAAAGGATCCCTGGTCTTGACCACAAGTTTGTTCAGCTTGAAGTTCGAACCTGGGCAATTCAATTATATGATTTGCTTGTTCAACATCATGATTATGTTGGATTTAAGAGGTCTGCAATGAAACTAGACAAAGGGAACTGCCTTGAAGGAGGCTACCACTAAGCCCAGAACCCTTAGGCAGAAATCTACTGCCGTTGTGCCTCTAGTGCCTTGTCTATTACACCATGCAGTGTATGCTCCAGCAAGAACACCATGACTGCCTATTCATGGTTCATCATTCGGATTACCTCTTTAATGGTGAAAAAGTGGCACAGATGTCTTAAACAGGAGCCACTAACATGGTGAATAGAACCCCAGATCTCAGAAACTGTTCTTGTCCCAAACCCACACAAATACTCATTGACAGCCGATTGCTGAAGGTGCAGCCATTGCATCATGGACAACGTTGAGTTCCAGAACATGGGTGTATCACATATCAGGTGGTTGGCAGTAAGCTTGTGTTGGCACTTCATTCTTGCCAAGTGAACAGTCTCTGGGTATGACCAACTAAAGTGACTGCACACCACAAACCATGTGGGTACTCACAAAACAAATAGAATGTCAAGAATGTCACATAGCACTGCTGACTCTGGGCAGGCATGATGATGTCACCGCTAAACTCTGCCCTACACACATTTCGTCTGACAGGATATCTTCCAAGGGCAATAGAGTCTGCTGATTTAGACCTCTTGAGTTGTGTGATCTAAGGATTTGGTAAGCGGGATTATAATCACTTGGAGGTTGGTGCACTGTTGCTGCATGAAGAATTTGCACACTTTTGGTGGACTTTATTTTTTTATTTGTTTGTTATACACGATATATATTGAATTAGAAGTTTTCCTGGCAGAGCAACACAGTTTTTTTCAGTTGTCTTTCAGTATTTATGTTTAAATATAAGTGAGTGCTGCAGTCAGGATTTAGGCATGAAGGTAAAAAAACCTTCTACATGCAGCCCCCCCCCCCCCCCCCCTAGATTATACTTACCTGAGGCTGAACTTGATCTAGCATTGTGCACGTGAGCAGAGGCTCTTTCTCCTTATTGGCTCAGACACAATCACAGCCTTTGAGGAGAGAGAGAGGGGGTGGGGCAGAGCTGAGCTTTGTGTGTCTTATAGACACACAGAGCCAGCCCGGGAGTGAGCATGCAGGTGTGCCACATTAGTAAGCGGCTTCCTATGGTGGCACAACAAGAAGAGGAGGAACCAGGAGTGCTGGCGGGAGACCTGAGAGTAGAAGGATTGGGGCTGCTCAGTGAAAAATCATTGCACAGAGCAGATAAGTATAACATGTTTGTTATTTTAAAAAAAATTAAATATCAAAGTTTACAATCACTTTGTACATACCAAACTGTTTCCAATGTTTGAAGACTAAGAATAAAAAAAATAAATCAGTATTAAGCCAAAAGAAAACATGCAGAAGCATTAAGACTTAAAATTAAAGGTTAAGTTCCCTTTCTACAAAAATAATAAATTCAGAATTTGCAGGTAAAAAAATGTGCATTTATTATTTTTTGTAGTAGGAGCCTGTAAAGCATTGCACCAGCGATCAGAAGATCGCTGATGCCATGCAGATTTCCTGCAGACCTGTAAGTGTATATGCTTGCCATACATCCCGTATGGGCAAGCTGATACTTCAGACAAGAAGACTCAATGAACTACCACAGTGCTCTCAGAACCGTTATAGCGTAGAACTCCAATCCAACAAGCCACTAAGGCTCTTCGGTTTTGTAGTCCAATTCATCCACAGAACACCATGAATCAATGACACAGCCGTTTGGGCGCTGTTTTTAAAAAGTGACAGCTAGTATGGGGAACTTCTCCCTATACTGCTGTCACGAGGGGATCAGGCGGTGGCTGCAGGATCGGGAATATGTTACATAACGGGTGGAACATGTAACATGTTCTCAAAGGTGAACTTATCCTTTAAACCCTCAGAACGTTTTCTATTTTTCACTTAGGTGCACCAAAGACACTTTCAAAATAAATAAATGTTTCCTCACTATGTACCCAATTACTTACATTCTAAGCTTCAGTAGGCACTTAGGAATGTAGTCCTGGCCAGATGAGCACATGGGTGGCTATTTTGTGGCTCCAAGGGTCCCTGCAAGATAGTGTAGCCACTCAATAGGTGGGAAGATAATTTTTAAAACTAAGTTTGAAGAAATGACAGCCTGCAATGAGAAAGCAAGCTGGAAGAAATATACAGTAGGTGATGAATTGCTATAATATTTACTGTTGCAGGAAGAGGGTTTAATAACACTTTAGGTTTCATATGCTGGATGTTTGGTAAAATAATTCATATAATAAAACTAAAAAGCCTATGCCATCAGTAATTCTTCTGAAAGGCCCTTCCAAAAACATGGATGTTTGGATTGCTTGTGCATGCATATTTATGCATATAAGAAGGGACAAAAGAGAGCAGGAAGGCTATTTGCCAAAATCCAGTCAAGGTGATGGAATATAAAATGAAGACACCTGGTCATACAAGAACAGAAAATTCCACCAACCGATCTGCTATTCTGACTGGCAGCTGCAGGAAAAGCTTGGTGGCAGCTATTGCTTGTACAGGAGGTAGAGGCTACTATAGGTGTTCATGGACCTTTCCCAAAGCTGTGAGTATTTAAACAATTTGTCCATTAAAAACAAGAAAGAGTACAAGTTTATGTTTCTGTAGTAAACAGGTTGTGTTGTCTTCCATATTTTCTTAGATCAGATATTTTAAAAGCTATGCATGCAGAAAAGCAGGTAACTCTAAAGGGCTAAATTTACCCTCGACTCTGAAAGCCCTTAGCCCCAAGAAGTTCAAGGCATATTTGTTGGTGAGCCTAAAGTGAAACAGGCTATACCAATTAATTAGACTTAGATGACTTCTAAGCTAAAATCAAATATGTCTAAATGTACGTCAAGCAACATATACATATTTCTACAAACATAATTAAAAGCAGATATGACTTATTGACTTATGGGTAAATGAGTAATTCAGTGCACACTTAGTTTCTATATCTGGTAGCAAGTCAATTATTTCCATCAGTATATAAATTGTATGTTTAAAGATGAACTAAAGGATAAAAAATATTGCCTTGTGTGCTTTGTGTATTTCTTCCAGATAAGTGCAGCATGAAACTCTTCCCCCTCCTGTAGTTTTCTGCATTTAGATATTTATGTAGCACACCGCCAATAAATTTGATCACGTTTCTTTTTGGGTTTTTTTTGGGTTTTTGGGAACAATGATCTTGGATAGTAATAGGGAGCATGGGATACCATGATAAACCATGAAACTGACCAACTTGAGGACT